ATTATGTTCCATGTTATAGCCAACAAAAGCCAAAAGGGACACCACTTGTTAACGACTTGAATCCAAAAGTCACAACCAAACCAATCCCATTAGTTACTTCAATTCCCGTTCCAGGATGTCGCTTCGACGTGGCCAGGGATGTTTGGCCAGATTTGGGGCAGTTCTGAGTGGGCCTGGCCTGGTTTTATCTTACAAACTATACCCGCCGAAAGTATGGAACCACATTTTGTTCAGCTATGTTATGGAATGCTCTTGTGGAATCTCAACTTGTTGAATTTTGTTTGCCATCCCGGGAGTGCCCATTTTTTGCTCCAAAGCAGTCCTCCGGTGCTGGGCCATGAAGATTGATCCTTCTCTGGTTGACCTGGCTTGTCGCAGAATGATAGGTTTGGGTGTGCCAATGGAAGCTTGACGGTAACTCATTATGATACATGTCATGTCCTTGGTGAAATTTGCAATTCCCCCCAATAAAGAAGAACTCATGGCATTTCTCACTCGAAAATATTCATTTAGGTATTTTCAAAAATATTTTCGAGCATCCCCCATTTTGAAAAATACCAACATACATTCCTATCCAGATCGCCGCATGACTAAGGATTTCATTTATCTGACTCTCATGGCCAGCTGGTTGGTGAACCTTCCATGGGAGGGGTCTGAGCCTTTTGACCTTTTAGACTTCTATGCAGGTCGTGCCCGTGTGAGCCGTCTTGCAAATTGTATGGGGTATGTCTCCCGGGCCTTTGATTTGGACTATGAAACTGCACCGGCAGGAGAGGGTATCCATGCTGGTAGGTCTAAACGGTCTGCTTTTGATATCAATGGTGAAGCCGGTTTCTTGTTACTTGGTTTTTTCAAAGACAGTGTGATTTGTTTGAATTTATGTTCCCAATGGATCCCAAAGTTACATCAATTATATCACGAAAGAATGTCCACAAGTACCACCCCAAAATTGGTTGACAATAATGCTACCATGTTTTCCCCTTTGCAAAACAATCGGGGAAACAATCTTGTACCAAACAAAGAGTTCGACATTGCCCGTTGCCTGAGGTTGGCAATCCTGATGATTTTGGGAGGCAGGCCTGGCTGTCTCCTAGCTCTGCTAGGGGTCGTTTGCAGTACATGGAGCGTGGTAAACAGAGCTACAAGCATGAGGGATTTGCTGGTACCACTCGGACAGCTCAATTTCTTGTCGGTGAGACGGGGAAACAAGATGGTGGCAAGGACTTTGTGGTGAAATGTTTATGGATCAATTATCAATGGTTTCATACTTTTGGAATAATGCTCTAAACCAAGATAGTGGTTCATGACCTGAAGGAATTCGGGAATTTGAAGGGCTGACCCATCAGGACATCATTAGTGGTGTGTCTTTTGGCGTCCTTAGACTTCTTCTATGTGATTGAGCAGCCATGCAATTCGGTAATGCTCCTTCATCCCAGACTGGCTTGGGCCTTCAGAGTTCTCCGCAAACTCGCCAAAGTCCGAGCACCTAGGAAAAGTTTAACAAGTCAATCTGTAAAAGGGTTTCTTTTGGAAATTGCTTCCGTATTCATAATCTGGTTGTACTGTTTGAGAACAGCACCATGAAAGACCCATGCTACTTAGACCTTCCGTGTGGTCTTCAATATGCAAAACTATGGGGCCGGAACTATGAAACCTACGATGTTGATTACCAACTCGGTCAGCTTCTGCAAGATGCACACAGCCACATGTGTTGGCAAAACCCGGAAGAAGAACAAGGCCCAGGCTCAAAGGCGCAAAGGGAAATCATTCCGAAAATTCCTTTGCCGGCACTATGTTGACCGTGCTGGCCGGAAGCGTTTTTCTGGAACCCGTCGCCTTAAGCAATCACAGTTACTTGACTTAGATTGGGATGGTTAGGTAAACATACCACAAAACATGTGTCTTCAGAAGGGTCACGCTTGCTGTTTATTAGGGCAAATGGTTTTGACAATTACCAGTAATACAAAAGTGTTATAATCCCCAGAAAGATTTAAAGCAACATTTCAGTCTATATGGTTGCCCAACCTGGATGGTGTCATCGGGATTGCATTCCTAATTTATTGGGGACCAACAAACTTATGGGATAGATCTCCCTGACCCCCTTGGTCGTCTCATCCCCTCTTACAAAACCACTGCTTGTTGCTCTTTCAGGGTTTATCCAGCTGGATTTGCCAAAGCTGTTGTGGAGAAGATTCCAGACATTCGTTCGGAACAACGTACCTTTGGACTCGAAGTGTCTTGCCTACCATTCAAGCGAGGGTTTGCGCATGCCTATAGTTATAACAATAACAAATAATTATATTTATAAATATAATTACGAATACAAAAAATATTATTTGAAAACATACTAGACGTGGGCCAAAGATGCATAGGAGCCATTTTGGCATTACCTATCAAACCCTGAGATAGGGACATGCCATTTTATGAGGAACCATATGGAACCACCATTTGAAACACTCATTTGCAATTTTGCAACTCCCTTTTTTTGGGGGGTTCCTTTTTGGCACTTTTCCTTTGCCCCGTCCTGTGCAGAGGCCGACCAAACCAGTCCACTCCAAGATCTCCTGGCAGAATCGGGGTGGACAGCTTGGGCTGATGCTGAGCTGTTCGCATGTATTCGCTACACATGCGGTGCAAAGAATCTCATGGTCCCACCCCAGTGGCACCAGTTCCATGCTCTAGCTAGGACTATGGAGCCAACTTTTGTAGATCAGTCAAATCGGACATCGATTGAGTTGTCTTTTACGGCTTGATCAACAGAGGTGAGCACTTGAACTCACCTTTCATGTTTTTATGGCTTTGACATGAAAATTCATGAAAAATTCAAAATTCATGAAAAAATTCAAAATCTGAACGGGCGAAAAACGGCGACGAAAGGGCGAAAAACCCCGACGAAAGGGCGAAAAAAAAAATGAGCAATTTTTTAACATAACATATTGTGTTTGCAACCATTGTACCCGATGCTGAACTGTATGGTGGTTGTTGCCCTTGTCCCAGTTCCCCGATTGCCACTGCAAGCGGAGCTATGGCATGGAAAGGATGTGAAAAGAGGGACAGTCCATGTGGGCTGCCATTGGCCGTCTCACCGTGACTAGTGAACATTGGATTTTATAATTTCAGAATGGACTAGCCCAGTGGTGTCTCTTTATTTCAAAGTCATGGGCAGGTAGGAAAGAAATGGAAAGAATGCATTCTGAATGAACGGGAATACCCCAGTAAAGCTGTTGAACAAGTCTCTGACATGTGACAAACTTGTCCCATTTCATTTTTCTAACAATGGTTCTCATTTCGGGGGTCTGACAGCCTTGCCTTTATGCCCATATCATTGAAAGGTTCGGTTCAATACCGGGAATAGTTAGCTGTCAGAATGAAGGGGCTGAAAAGCAATGCTTGGTCTTCAGAGACCTTGTCTCGGGGTGTGCGCTTGTTGGAGCGGCAACCATCGGGCCTACTTTCTCAAGTCAAAGTTGAACAAGACCCTGAATTGAAATCGGCCCTTGCGGCTACTTGACATATTTATGGGATTTGGTTCTGGTTGTGAAGTACCAATAATAGAAATGTAATTTTCCTCCTGGGTTCCCTTTTGACGAAAATTGCTTCCATAAAGGGACATGTGCCAATGTTATGATGTTTAGCATGTTGATTAGTGTTCTATTGTCAAATTTTTGTTGGATCATTCTTCTCAGCTTTTGCTTCAGTATGGTCAGCTTCAACTAATATATATTATAGCTGGGAAACTTGTAGATTTCCAAATGCCTTTTTGAACTAGATATCATTCTGGGGATTGCCAGCAAGCCCAGGAGCTGAAAGATGCCGAAGCTGAACTATCCCAGCTCACAGCCACGACGCCACAGGCCTCTGAAGTGAAGCTGGCGGTGAAGTGCGAAGTGGAGTCTCCAGGAACCTCACTGGAGAAAGCAGGCATTGACGCGATTCTGTCTACCAACCCGGACAGTCAGGGGTGGCAACTCTGGTCCCGAGCAGCCTTGCAATCTTGGGCTACTTCAAATCCCATAGATTTAGAGTCCGATGTTGAGGTGAGCCCTACTGGTGATTTGGATGGAGTACCTATGCTGATATGGGCTATTTCTTTAAAAGAAGTGGACCGCTGTATGGACATAGTTCTTTTCTTGGAAACAAACTGTTCGCCCCTTCAAATCTTTGAGGGGCACCTCAACTTTCATATTCTAGTCATAGGGGACAGCAGGGGTTACAATATCACATCAGGATATAACATCACAACAAAACACCATTTAGTAGAAGTCTATACCTGGATTTAATCTATTTCTACTGTCATACTATTTATTATAGTTTGAATTTCATATCAAATACTTTCATTCAATAAAACCAATAATATAGTTTGATAGTAAGAGAATACACCATTGAATATATTTCTATCTTAAATAAGCCAATGTTATATGATAAAGATACAATATAAGATGGCACCCGGTTATGAAATAGAATATTTTCTACAAATATAATATTTAGTAAGAATCAAAAATACACCAATATCTATATAAATATATATATATATAATATTTACATATATAATATAATATAATTTAATATCATATCATATTATATAATATAATATCTTATAATATAATATAATAAAATATAATAAAATATTATATTATATAATATTATATATATATATTGAATGTGATTTTGAAAATAGTAATAGTTTAATATAAGTTAAGCTAGAATATCAAAGACAATAATAAATTAATAATATCATTTAGTATTACATGATATAATACAATATTTAAAATCATATCATATCACATAGTACCAATATTGTTATAGAGCATCGTATCAACAATAATATAATATGGCCTCTACAGCCTGAAATGGTTTTGAAAACCCAAGAGTTGATTTAGCTTGCTACTTTTCGTTATTCAAGATTCAAATATTGTTTGGTTTACCTCATTATTTGGGTAATCACCTATGTCCCTCCAAATCTTCGGGTCCAAACAGCTACATCTCAGGTAGAAACGCCGATGACCAGGCACTACTCTCCAGAAGGTGGTGCGGCACATGACCGGGGTGATGAACATCTTGAAACGGTGGGTGATATTGGCCAGCATGGTTTTTCCGATGAAGCCTATCACAATAATCCCGATGATGCAGAAGATCACCAACCACAAGTTGAAGAAACTTTAGTGGATGCACCGGATTGTCCCCCCAATCCACCATCCAAATCCCCCAAGAAGGATGAACCCAAACCATCACTTGAAGTCGATGCACCGGGTTGTGACCCAAAGCCAACCGCCAGCAAGGCTGGGGGCCCTGCTCCAGAAGGTCTTGTGGCCACTCCTTGCCGCAATACACCGACGGTTGGTGGTGCTTCCCCAGGGTCAACTGATTTGGGAACCCCAAGCTCAATGGATTCAATTGGTGATAAATCTGCGGAAACCCCCATCCCTGGTGAACTGAGATTGTCCGAGAATGCCATCAATCTGAGACTTCACAGGGTGATGAAGCTTGATTCCAAAGGCAATTCCAGGGTTGGCGATGAGATCCGTAAGCAATTTCATTGCAAGAAGGGCAAGCTTCGGTTGCAGCAAATTTTCCAGAGTTGCGGTTTCAACCCGGACAGGTGTGACAAAAAGCTTGGATGTTTCTATTAAAATCCAAATCCAGTTGTTTTTAAAGCAAAGATTTATTGGTTGGGATTACCTGTAGTTGTTTACCATGGCTATAGTTGGTTTTTGTGACTTGTTATTACAGTAACCATTAATACCTTTTGTTAGTAGTTACATTGCGTATGCGTTTCTCACTAGTCTCTTGCACCCCACCGGTCCTGCCTTTGCAGGACGTATTCTGTGAAGAGCTGGAACTGGTCCAAGAGGATCTGCTGGCGAATGACCTGGTAATCGAGGGGGAGTTCATGAGTGAAGAGACAATGAAAACTGAATGGAAATGGTCCCAGTAACTAGTTGGAACTGGTTAGAATTGAAATACCTAATCCTTGTAATATTGTAATAAAAAAAAACAGTTTTGTGTCAAAAGTTTTTGGGCTTGATTTAGTTTGCCTATGACGTCTTCATTTCACATGCCTTGCAGCTAAGGCAAAAAATTGATGCCATCAAAAAGGCTGCAATGGAAAACCCTCGAAAGTTGATGAGGCATCCAACCAGTCATTCTTCTTTACTGAATGATGTGTCAGGGGTAGTAAAGCGCAATCTTTGCCGTGATTCAGGCGTGATCGATACGAGGACCTTGTCTTGTACTGGGCTGAAACAGCCGTCAAGGCCAGCCAACGGCATCTTGTTTGCACTAATTTGGAACCATGACTGTCACTGAGCCCAGTCTTAAATGGTCACTTCTCCCATGGGTCATTTTCAAAACTGGTAAGGCGAAGCAGCTCTACAGCTTTCAAACGGAAGCTTGCTTGGCAACAGGAGGGTGCTGACCTGTCTGCCTATGATGCCCCTGTTTGTTTGGGTGGACCCGCTGATAAAAGGATCCGTGACTTCACCCCACAGATGGGGAAGAAGGATGCTTTGAACATAGGCCCCTCAACCGCCAATGGTTCCAAGCCCCTGTCCCAGCCCAAGACTGAAAAGCCCCAGCCCTTTGACGTGGATGTTGAAGAAGGCTCGACATGTTGAAAGTTTTGAAACGGCCCCAATTATATAGATCATCAATGGGCAATCCCAAATCAGGTCCATAAATCTGCCAAAACCATTTAGGATCATATCATCTAAGACATGTGCAAATCTAGTCGGGGCCCTGTTGCAGGTTCTGAGGGTTCGGATTTGGAGATGAGCCCAGCAGAGTGCAAAGCTCGGGAAGCCGAGTCCCGGGCACAGGTGGAGCGAAAGAAAGCAGGGTTGCCTGAGTTGGAGGTGGATCAATTACCTTCCACCATCGCAACCAAAATGATGAAGCTCATTGCATAAGTCCAGATTCTGATTTGTTTTCTTGTTTTTTTAAAAATATTATATTATATGATGTAGATCTTTTGCAATTGCTCCCAATCTCTTCCAAGGACATGTCTCTCCAAGCGCATGAGCAAATTGGAGAAGGGTCTTGAGCGATTTGGTGATGGTGCTACCCTGTCGAATCTGCAGATAGCGCAACTTATTTAAACATACATGTCTTCTGATTTCAACAGCCCCGCAAAAATTGATAATACCAATGGATGATGAATGGATCACACCCTCAGAAATATTATTGGGAGGGCCGCCATGGGGGACAACACCATATAATATAATTATCCCACTATTTTGCCTTGTCTTGCAGTTGGGCATCCCCACCATTTTGGAATCCCAGGATGAAGGAGAAGATGGAGAAAGTGATGGCCGACCTCAAAGATCATTCCAGTGAAATTGACAAGATTTACACGTTGGGTGTTGTGAACGGATTCTCTGAAGAGTGCTTCCCTTGCAAACAGTTCCAACTGATGAGCATTTGGTTCCTAATCAGTTCTAAGTTCTAACTATATTTGGGGCCCCCTACTTCCCACATCCAAGGAATGAAGCTGATTTGGAAAAGGCATTTACCGAAGCCAAGAAAACGCTGGAGTCCCAGCCCAATTGAAGATGATTGCATTGGTTATCCCCCACACCGCCTTAACAAATTCAACCCGCTCAGGGCAGTGGAGAGCATGAATTTGGAGTTCCGTATGAGGCCAGGTGGTATTTAGGGGAATGGTCTTGTTGTGTTCAATCTGACACTTGAAAAGGAGACAATATTACCCACAATCTTAGGATTTCCAAAATCACTACTAATTATTTGTCTTGTTTCAACCACCTGGCTCTACCCAACCCTCATCCAAGCCTACTTGAAGCGCAGGCCGATTCTTCCTCGTGCTGGGTCCAATCAACCTCCGCCGGGGGGCAAACGGTGCAGTGCTCGGGCCGCAAAGGCCAAAGCCAAGGCCAAAGGAGAGCCGAAGGCCAAGTCCAAGTCCAAGAGCAAAGCAAAATAGAACCGTTCCAATGGGCGAAAGTGTGTGGTTTGGGGACCTTCAACCTACCTAGTCCAACAGATTACATTACATGCAGTATAGGTCAGAAATAATCAGTAAACTAGTGGTGTTCAAAAGTTTGGTTCGAACCTCTTGGCCACACATTTTACGATGTCAAATGGACAGCTGCTTTTTTAGGAGCAGTTGCTGGGCTAAATTCAAGCCTTGCATTTGTGAAATCACTCGCCACACCAGGTGGCTCAAAGGATTCCGGAAACAGCGGAAAAGCGCGTAATGTGAGTCATTCAGCTTGCCAAACACGATGTGAAGGCAAAAAAACTTTTTGTTTCATGTAATTTAGTCATGCCAGGTGATGATACCACTTCAAAGACAACGAAGCGCCCTTTTGTGGAGGCTTTTGCAGAAGCCATTTCTGATGGGGTGTGGTGCCAAGAATGGCGTTCATCACCAATTCAAATTCCAATGGTTTTGATAGTGCCTATGCCCAGCATGTTCAGACCAGCTCCAATGGGTCCAATTCCACCAAATCTGTTTGGGCCTAAGGTCCCGGCCAAGCAGTGCAAGCGGCTGCACTCCGCTGCCCGCCATGACATGGGTGAGACGGGTCAGCATACCAGCGATGAAAACAATGTTGCTAGAAATGCTTACCGGTGGATTCGGAGGGCTGGTGTGGCTTGGAAAGTTCCATTCCTGGCCGGGGAATTGAAAACTCTGTTCCATGACGGTTTACAAGCTGCTGGTACGACGTATCGAATCGTTGTCGTTGGTTCCAAAGGAGACCTTAAGTGGGTGGGCAAAATTGCCAACCTCACACGTGGCTATGAAAATCAGGGTCGTGTTCAAGATTTACTGTCTTGCCATCAATGCATGGCTGGGAGTGAACAACTACCTGCAGAAGACTTTTCAACGAGCCCCTGTTGGGAACCCACTGTACATTCTGAACGCCCCTGGTCAGATTCAAATTTGCCCTGTTTGATGGCTATTCCATTTGACCAAGAAAAACCTGAGCTTCTTTACAGAAACGATGTATTTCACACGCTACGGCTAGGCATATATCGTGATTTCTCTGCCTCGTGCATCTTCCTCTTCATGAAGTGAGGCTACTTTGGCTGTGGAAACATGCCGGAAAAACTTGAAGCCGCGCATGGTCATTTTACTTTGTATCTTAGAACGGTTGGGAAAACAGCCGCTTTGCGCTCTTTTACGCTTGCTCTGTTCAACTACCAGAATGCTGGTTCCTACGTTTGGAGTAACACAAAGGGCTCTGATACGATGTTGCTATGTGAATGGCTTGTCGTTGCAGCACGCGGTTTCCTTGTGGAAGAAACAGACAGAATCAAAAGGCAAGCTTTGTCAGTGGTCAGTGATGCAGGTCAGCTCTCTTTGGAATGGTTTGACCTCATCTACAAGCATGGGATGTTTCTGCCCCGATGTTGTGCTGCAACTCTTTACGAAAAAGGACAAGCTTTTCTCAATGGCTACGCTTGGCTCGCAAATTTCGCAATGGGCTGCAGCATGTGTTTGTTTGGTGTAAAGCCAAAGTGCCACTTTCAAAAACACACACTACTGGAAATTTACTGGCAGCTCCAACAAGGTTGCCTCTATGTGATGTCCCCGGTTGTTTGGGACTGCAGTCAGAATGAAGATCTTATGGGAAGAGTCTGCAAATTGGGGCGCAAAGTGGACACACGTGTGATTACACAACGGGTTCTTGAATTCTATTTGATCAAGGCTGCAGTGCTGTTGAGACGGTATGAACGGGTTCACAAAGATTTAGATTGCAAATTCAGGTGAAAAAAAGAGGGTATGATGATGGATGGGTGTTGAATTGATTGCATAACCCAATCTCATTGCAGTGAGGTCGTTTTTTGAGCCATCGGGCGAAACTTCTGACTGCGAGCGAACTTTCTTGCTGTTTCAACTCAGGGCGTTTTTTTTGCACATCCGGATCTTGTAGGTATTCTTATTCTTACGAAACATAGACGAAAAAATGACATATTTTCGCGCGTGGACGCTGAATGCACCTGCAGCCTCAGCTAATGTCCCTTTTGCAGGTCGCTTGAAATTGCCAGATGAAACCTGGGTCGCGGCCATGCGCTTGTGGTTGCTGTATCTCCCATGCGAAGAAACAAAACGATATGTCGGTAATTTTCTGTCTGTTTACCGGGTGCGGCCCACCAACGTCGAAGAAGGCAATAGCGACCACAGTGGCGTAGATGAAGCTTTGGTGGTCACGCCTGCCACCTTGCCTGTAGCTATGCAAACGTCGTTTCGGCAAACTGGCAAGCGCGCTGCGAATCCAAAGCGTGGTGATGCAGCTGCTATGGATGATCCCGTGCTTGCGAGTTATGAAGAAGCAGCACAGCAAGCTGAAGCCGCTTGGCAAGCCCCGCCCGCTGCAGGTCCTGTTCCAGGCAGAAATCCATATGAAGCACAGGCATCGGCCGATACCCGAAAAAAAATTGAAGACGTTAGGCAAGCGCAGGCAAACGCCGACGCCGCAAGCAACAGCACCGACCGTCGGATCCTGGCAAGCGGTTGCTCAGGATACCGTGCAGAAAGTGGATCAGTTCCTCGTTGACATCAACAGTAGCGGGACATGCAATCCGGAGCAATTCGCATTCTTAGAAACTGTGTGTGCGAGAGTTGAAGAAGAAGCTGTGACTGGGCAGGATCGTGGCGGAATGGCCGAAACCAACACGGAGGCATTGCGGTGGGCTTTACACGGTGGACCCGGCACAGGGAAATCCTACTTAAGCGGTTTTGGCGGTTATCCAACTTATAACTATACATATATATTGCACGTGCACGTTAACTTTTCAGAAGTTAGAACTTAAGTTATAACTTCCCAGCGTTGATTTTGCGTAAAACATGTTTGTTGGTCAATTTTGTTTGTTCAAAAAATGTTTTTCAAAAAATCCAGTGTATGAAGCACACCGTTTTTTTGCAATCCATATCATATGAAAAATGACACCGCAGCCAAAACATCCGGCAATGGATTTGGTGATGTTTTGATGGCCGGTTGCAAACTGACCAGCAAAACAAAAATACCGCAACTGCATAGCATCCCAAGCCAATTTGTTTGATCTTTGAGGCTCGCCCAAAGAAGGAATAAACACATGAATAAAGTCACAGTAAATCACAGCAATGGGCAAATACCTTTGATTGGTTCTCTGAGGCTTGCCCAGAGAAATGTAAACAACAAATAACGCAGTCATTAAAGGTCGCTGTAGATTTGAAAAATTTAGGGCGTTGGCATGTCATGTTGTTTAAGGATAGCCAGTGTTTAGGATGTCCGCATGTCCAAAATTGGAAACCTCGTGTTTATGGTAAAATCATCCTGCATAGAAACGCACATGATTCCAAAATAAGTACCTAATGTTATTCAAACTATTGGCCTAACCATGGGAAATACGTGAAATGTTTGTCCTTTAGCATGGTCATTTTACTTTTCCAATAAACAATACAAACACAATGTAGGAAAACCAAATGAATGACAACGGTTTGGGGTCCTGAAATGTTTGATTTCCATCATCATGATGCAAGGTTTAAATTGCAAACAAATGATCAACAAACAGAAAAATATGATCAACATACCAAAAAAACATGCCCATAGCGACGCACACTGTGTGACACCATTTTTTCACCTCACGCAGATTTGCCGTTGTTCCCCCAACAGCATTTTCATGGGCGAGCCTCATGAAGCGCCTTCACAGCGTAGCCATGTAGTCTATGACTTTGGCCCAAACGTGTTTTGGTTCCTCCTTCTTCCAAGAAAAGGCTGGGTCCTTCTTGTCCCCGGTTTTCTTCACCCTCCACGAACTCGATTTGGGGCAAGTGTAGATGGTAGCCTTCTCAATTTTTTTTGGGGCTGCCGCTCCTGTCCCTGGGAATGCCTTGCTTTTGCTGGAAATCTCCGCACCATGTGTACCTGCAGCCTTCTTCTTGTGCGGAGCTTTAGAAGCTTTGTCCTTTTGGTTTGCAGGCTTGCTGGCCTGTGGTGGTCTGTTTTTCTCCTTGTTGGCTTCCAACTGTTCTTGGATTTCTTTTGCCATGTTATCCACGTCCTTGGCTTCAGCTGAGACCGGTGGGGGGGCTGTGTCCTTGCTCTCCTTTGGGGATTCCAGTGGGCTCTCTGGTGTTTTTGGTGGGGCGTCAACAGGTTCATCAGGTTTGTTCATCAAAGCCAAAGGCCGTTTCCTGCTGGGCTGGTTGAATTGCAAGTTGCAAAGCGCACCCATTTCCTGTTGCCCCCCTTGAAATGCATTGGCCAACAAAAAGTTTGCCAACATGTGTTGTAGCCCTTCATCACGTTGGAAACCCTTGGATTTGCCTGGCCGCACGCTCCTGTGAGAGCACCTGGCCGGTAATCCATCAGTAAGGTCCATCACGACTGTAACATCAAAGGGGCATTTGGCCGGGGGGTCCTCAGCATAAGCTTTCTCCCAAATGCTTCCCAAGGTCGTGGGGTCCTCGGGGTACACTGCAACACCGCTGTGGGAGGTTCGTTTGCAAATACCTTTGACCACCAATTTCAAATCTTTCAATGTAGCGTAATGTTTTTTCTCGTCAATCTTGTCCGGGTTCCCTTGGCAAAAGGAAAGCTGAAGCAAGATGTTGGCCAGGACGAAAGTAGGTTCAGAAGGGTTCACCAAGCCCAAAAGTTGGAAACGTTTCCCAATGAGCCTCATCTTGGACTCGAAGCTGGTGCACGATGAACACAAATCATTCCATTCTCCTGTCGTCAGGTAGTTGTAGAGATGCAGGTTCCTTTGCATGCATGACCTTTTCTTCTTCTCGTGTTCCCCTAGCATATCTGCCATGATTTTTTCTTGTACTGCTCCAGCCACCTCATCTCGCATCCATTGAGGAAACTTTGCGTTCTTCACTTCCTCCAGCATGTTGGTTCCCTCTTGTACCTCAATAGGAGGCCCCGTTTTGAAATCCACCAAGCAGCCACGAAGCAATGCCTTTTGCTTATCCTTTTTGTCAGGGTCATCGTCGGATACCACAGTCCCGAGACTGGTCAGAAAGTTGAGAAGGTCAGTCAGCCGTTTTGCTGCCATACCACAAAGGCCGCAAAGGACCGAACATTTACAGAGGCGAGCCTTCGTTTATATCTTGGAAATGAACCAAAACATTGCAGGCCCAATGAGCAAGTCACTAAGTACAAACCGTGCATGATCAACTTTTCAAACCTGCAAAAAACACATCAGCATATTTAACATATACCGTATGATAAATACATGAACATAACATATGATATCATAAAACCACAAGAAAACCGATTCCACACAACCCACCCACCACCAAAACCCATATCCCACACTTTTTTCACACGCGCAAAACCGGTTTCCTTTCAATGGTTCGATGGTTGCTCCCGCAAAATGCCACTCCCTAAACTGGCAAACTCTAGGCAGGCGAGCCGTGCCATGTGCATTTCATTCAGTTTGAAGAGGAAGACGACAAAAATTGGTACTGGTATCGGGCCCTCCTTCGTGAAATCCTGCTGTTGGTCTTGAGTTTTGTCTTCTTGACATTCCTTCCTGTCGCCACTTTCTTGACACCACCCTTCTTTTTCTTGGTAGCCTTGGTTGACTTCGCAGCCTTCTTCTTCATCTTCATAGCCTTCGGTCTTTTGTTGGTCTCCGCAACAGCCGCTTCCGCCTTAAATTTTTCCATCCATGCATGAAAATTGTTGCAACATGCGGTTGCATCTCGACCCACCAAACTTGCTTGCTTGGGGCGGTTTTTGTTCATCTTGTTCTTCAGCATGGCCATCATGGGGTACAAAACTGAGATCATCAGAGGAACGGGATATGCGTTCCCAGATGCTTTGATTCGCAAAGCCTGGCCTAAGTAGACCAAAGGTGCTCCACAAAAAAAAACTAAGATATCCTAAGGTTGATCAACGCATATTGTACTAATTGGAAATTTGAATTCAAAATTCAATAGCCCGTGAATGTGCTTAGACCTCCACGATATCAATAACCCCCAAATTTGATAAGCATGAGGTGATGATACATTTTTTTGATTTTTAAATATCAGGTATAGATGTAGATATATTCATCTTACCATATCTTACCACTATTTTGAACAACAACAGTATTTACCAACCCAAACAATTAGGTGGAACCCCCAAAATGAAAAATGAATTGAAGGTGGTTCAAGACAAGCTTCTTCCCTCTTGCAAGGTATCTGCCGCAAAACCTTGCAAAACCATCCTTTCCTTAGCTGATACCCCGTCGACTCGCCCAAAGAAGAATATGAGGACATTTACATGAAATAGCATGAACATTCATTTCAATCAAGATACCTCGCTAAATTGGTACTTGAAAGGGTTGGGTGTTCCAAAACCATCGTATCCGCTAAACAAACAAACGACACCATACAAAACATAGTAGACATGTAAGACAAGTTTCACTCTCATGAATAAACCGGAAAAATGCTCTTTTCTTTTCAGGCTGGTCCAAGTCCATGCTGCAAATGAAGAGATACTTGTTGGTTGTCGTCAGGGTGGTGCAAAGATTCACTGTAAACCGCCGTTTGTAAACCTTGCCCTCCGCTCTATCTAAGGGAAAAATCACAAGGTCGGTCAACTGTACTTCTCCCTTGTCAAGCATGTCCTTCAAGGCTTTGACTGCATCTTTGAGGTTTTTTGTCATAGTTTTGGTCAATGTAGACCAGTCCAGGTTGGGAACCTCCCTGGCCAAAAATTCACCCAAAGGTTTTGGCCCAAAAGGTGGCAGTGGATCTGGCACCTTCCCAATCGATGTCCTGAGGCCACGCAAAAACACCCTGCACCGCTGTTGGGCAAGCCCAAAGTCCGTAGCATTCAGTGTACACACATTCCAGTTAAATTCAGGCACTTGGTTTTGAAGGAAATCTACCATGTGCTCCATGAAGGAACGTGTATGCCCTGTCTGGGTATACGTAATTCCACGTACGTTTTCCAGAACCACAGCTTGCAACTCACCAGCTTTGATTAAACTGATAGCAAGCTTCAGCACTGCAATGAACACTTGGGATCGATCATCCATGGGCCCAGTGTGCTTTCCATTGCCTGCCCACGGGGGGCATGGAGGGCCGCTGCATAGGAGATCAACAGGGCGTTCCACTTCTGTAAGATCCAACTTGGTGACATCACCACGGGTCTTGTGCGTGTGGACTGTCATCCCCAAGTGTTGTGTCAAGTGCGGGCCATACCTGGATTCTACATCCATGATGTTGTTCGCTTCAAAGTTCACGCCCATATGGTAAAGGGCAGTACCGCACCCATCTATCCCCACACAAGGCATTGATACAAAAACTTTGCGTGGAAATTTCCCAAGGGGCTCCACAATGGTCTTCCAATCATTGGGCTCGGGAAACTTCAGCCGCGATTGAGCAGGCATGTTTTTTTATCAGAGGCGAGCCTTCCGATACTTCAGAGCTATGTATGTTTGAGCCAGGCGCATCAGACAATTAGAAAATTTAAACAGGTGTAACTTCCCATAGACATGCACATGTCGTGGCTGTTTGTTTTTTGCTTTGCTGCAAACCTGCATGGGCGACACTTTTCCACCCTTTCAGCCAGTTGGTTAATTTGGTATACCATTTTGGCACGCAAGCGTTGAAAAGCTATATACATAGTTCAAATAGCAAACACTTGGAAATCCTACCAAACAGGTTTGTACATGCAGGCGAGCCTTGCATTCACGCAGCATCAGGGGATTGAGGTTCTGGGACGGTCTCAAATGTTGTTGAACTACTTGAAGTACCCTGTATTTCGTTCGTAGGTGTGGTGTGAGGCACTCTTCCAAAATAGATCTTGCAAAAGTCACATGAGCAAGTAGCTTCATGTTGGGAGTCTTCGTATTTCCAATAGTCTGGGTAAGACTTGTTCAGCTTGGTCACCACATCTTCACTTGAGTCCTCCGACTCTGAGTCGGCACCCAAAATCTTTGTTTTTTTTCTCATCAGCTTTGCTGTTTCCTGCTCATCGGTCAGTCGCTTCCTTCCTTGTGGTTCATTTGAAGGAGCGGGTGGCATGGTAAAAACAATATAGCGCCACCTGAATTGTTTTGCTTGAGCCCATGCATTATTATACATTGTTTCCTGCATTGAGCATCATGGTTTCTATTCAGATAACTTTGGATAACCTAAATGGTTCTTGGGTTCTAAACTCTAAACCATGTACAAGTTCACCCGTCAAACAGGAATTGCAGAACACATGCAATAAGATGTTGCATCAAAACCTGAGGCTCGCCCAGGAAAGACCTTAACAGATTGTATTTCACATTCAAGCCATGACCACATTTCGTTTTGGTCAAAACATATGGATTTGAATTTCCATATCTAACAGTTCATACTTGATAAAGGCACCATGAACATATTGTATATGTAAAGCCAATGGGCCAAGAAACTGAATGCACACAGGGCCAAAAACCAAGAGGCCGCAATTACCAAATGGATTTTGAACAAACCCATGGAATTAGGGAAACATATACACAGCAAAAGGTGAGCACATCCACCCAAATCACCCAAGTTAAGAATGACGCATGAGAGCCCATGGAGGTGGTAAGCATGATTTATAACCAGTGCATTCATATCATACTATGACCCAAAAAGATTGCAATAGGACAGTGATATCCCCGTGATATGCCCGTGATACGCCCGTGATACGCCCGTGATACGCCCGTGATACGCCCGTGATAGGGTAAAACTAATTGAACCATAAGCCAAAAACTATTAAACCAAAAATCACATCATATTATCAAACTAACAATTTGCAAATGTTTTATTGGAACATGTTGCCAAACTTTCCTGAGAAACCAAAAACCATATCATATTATAAAACTAACAAATTCCAAATGTTTTAATTGGAACATGATGCAATGCTAATCAAACCCTGAAAACTGTTGAACCAAAAGCCAGGCCACAGAAACTAAACCAAATTGTGGGTGTGGTGTTCAGGTCTAAATCTTTGCAGCCCAACTACCCTGTTGACATACATGTGAATGTAATTTTGGTTTCTTGGAAACAAAAACTAAACGTTGTTGAACCAGAAACCCAGTAGTATCTTTGTCTCCAGCCCCACCCCCTTTGTAGTTTTTTCCTTTTCTCCTCGCTGCTAATGTTGGGGCGTGTTTCTTACCCTTTCCTGTCAAAAATGTGCTGGGCTAGCCTCAGCATGGTAATCACTTGAAAGCAGCCGCCTGGTCCAACTGGGACTTCACCCTTCCAGCAGCCTCCTTCACTTTCTCCGTGATTTCATCCAAAGCATCCTGCAAGGCTTTAGCATCTCCTGTTGCCTGCTGCAACGCATTCTGTGCTGAGTTCAGCTCTTTCTCAGTATCCTGTACTGTCTTTTCCGCATGTTCCAAAACATAAGCTGGGATCATACTTCCAAAGGTGCCCGCCTTAGACACCAAATCCTTGAGCTGCAAACCCTTGGCCGTCAACTGGTCGATCTTCTTCGTAACCTTGTTCTTGACCGAAGCTGTCCATTTTTTCTCCTTTTCATCAGCTCCAGCCTTTCCTCCCTTGGTCTTTCTGGGTCGCTTGGACTCAGGCTCTGTAGCATCCTCCAATCCTTGTTGGCCCTTCATCTTTTCAGTAGTCCCATATTCTACTGAATCTGACACACGTGCCTTGTACTTGGGGTCCGCATACAGGGTCAGCTTTTTCACTGGGCAAAAAAAAGTCCTAGCGTTCTGAAGGATGTTGCGCAGGGTCTCAGGGCGATCATGATATTTCTTGCGTAGGTCCTCCTCTTCCAAAAACTCACCCTCCTGCTCAAACTCCATCCTTGTGGTTGATGTCTTCCAGTCCTGAAACACTTCCTCCACCTTCACACGTAAACCTTCCCCTCGAAGATGTCCATGTGCTTCGTAAAAGGCTTGTAGTTTAGGACCCTCAACCTTGGTGAAGTCCTTGACAAGGTTCCCATGTTTTGCAGCAAGACGGTTGATGGCAGAGCGAACATTGTGGCAAGATCGGCACCGTCTGGCTTCAGGTCGTTTTGAATCAGAACGTACTATCACTAGTGAGTTATGCTCATCCACAGGTTTCCTGCATGTGCAACAGCGGTCTGCCACCAACTCATCCGCCGTGACCATTGCGTTGTCACCAATCTCACTTCCCATAGGGGTGCTTGGGGCCACGCTTGCAGAATCTGCCTTATCAGACATGATTTGGTGTAAATGTGAGGCGAGCCTTCACTTTTCACTTTGGTTTTGCAGGTGTTCCTTGCAATAATCAGGTTTGAACCAAAGCCACCATAAATGAAGGAATGTCAACCAGCACCCACCCACATGAAACGGACCCAAAGTAACAAATAACCTTGGAAAAATTGGCCGTTATCATGACATGGCTTGGGTATATGTATCAAAATGTATGGCTGGTTAGGGGTCAAGCCTGAACAGCGTGTAAACAATCCAACAACATCACGTGGTGTATGGTTTCTTGAGTTTCTTGTGGTTGTTTTTTGAACAACCCTTAATTGATCAATAGCACCTTTGTTTGCAGGACATCACTTGCACAACCAAGTTGACAAACATAAGTTGATAAATATCACCAAAACCCAACATCACAACAAACCGGTGGGTGGCTCAACGCATGACAGCATAATATATAATATTATTTAATACTGTTATACATAAATGATTTTATCTAATCTTACAGGTTTGGCCACCCTTGATAGACACAGGTAAGGTTCGCTCCTTTTCTCCCACCACTTTACCCAAGATGAGGACGTTCCAAATTGCAGGGTTCTGGGCGGGCCTCAGAACATGTCCCTATGTACAGTTTGTAAGCACACATGGATCGAGCCACACGACCTCTTAGTGTAAGCCACTGGCAAAAAGTTTTTTCCCAAACCACAAAGCTTTGCTTGGACCTTTGGTCAAAAAGGCAACCCTCCTTCCACTGGTGTGTAGAAGCTTGAACAACGAAGCAGTTGCTCCCTGATAGGAATGTAAATTCCAAAAACGCATGCACCTGTAAAATTTGCTTCGAGGATGGCGCAAAAACTATGTCATCCGGTGAAACTGTCCCAGCAAGCGTTGTCAAATGTCTACTGGTCAAAACCTTGACAACTTCTTTGTCAAACAGCCACAGGAGTTCAGTACAACCGAAAACCTCTCGCACAGGCTGATGTAAACACATGGCTTGGCATAGTGTTTGGTCTGTAGAAAAACTGTTCACCACTTCATTCCCCATCCTCAAGGTCACGTGGTAGTTCAAAGAGTCATTAAAGCAATGGTTTGCTATGGACTTCACCGCACGGTGCTTGCGTTCAGGGCAGAAACAACTGAGGTTCACCCCAAACTTGGAAATTTGCTCAGAAAGGTGAAATAGCCAGTGGTATTTTGGTTTCGTGCAATCCGGGTAAAGCTCTGCAAAAAGCTGGTTGTGATCATCAACGGTCACCTGGAGCTTTGAAACCAGTTGCACAGCATTGTGATGTGATGTGTTAAAATATCCAAAATGTCAGCCATGTACCGCAAGCAAAGGCTGTGTCGGAGAAGCTGGCCACACGGCTGGAGAACAATCTCGCAAAAAAGGACCAAAATGGGTATGGCAGTCAAAAGCTCACCTGCAAAACATTTGATGTGGGATTTCTCCTCCGGGTTGTAGCGGTCCGCAAAAAACTTGTTTGGAAGTCGGCCTCTAGATTTGGGCGTGGCCACTGCAGATGCAAAAGCATCGACTTGTTCCAGTTTGATACCAATGGATTGAACAGCAGTCAGGAATCCATTGACTTCGTACTGGGCAACCCCCCCGCTGGCAACAAGCACATGCATCCAATCATACATCGTATGTTGTACTGGGCATATGAGGTCTCGCAAAGTTGGATGCCACAAAACACCTTTTGGGTCGTACTGTAAGCCATAAACCTGACCAAACTTATTCAACTCTTTTTTGCTTCTTGCAAGCCTTTCCAAGTGATCACGCATAGCGCGGTATGATGCACTCGTGTGTTTTGCAAATTTGGTCCGGTCTGGACATGCATAGTGGACCAACCATCTGCCATCCAACGGTAGATTGTCCTTGTTCATATGCCCCAAAACATTCTGGCATAGGCAGCAAGGTTTAGTTCCACTCGCTCCACGTAGTAGCCAGAGTTCTTTGATAGCCTTTTCATCACTCATCAAAATTGAAAACGTTCCTTTGCACAAAAAGTAACCTTTGGAGCAGGTTAATGGAAATCCAGTGGTGAAGTTGACTGGTTCTTCCAATTCGAAGAAAGCTGACAGAATCCTTGCGAATAGATAGCTGTATCCTCCTTGCAATACCTGCAACAGTTTCGTAGGAAAAGCACCAAAGAAAAAGTAGCCTTCTCGCCTTGTTTGAAACCACTGAGGTAGCTGAACAATGGTCCAATACCAACAGGCAACCGTGCGACCCTGATCGGGTCTCAAAATGTTTCCTGGTTTGATTTCATCTTGGTAAAATGCTAATTGCATTTTACCTTGATGAACTTGGTTGATCAAGTCCCCAAGTGAACTGCACAGTTTGCATAGCTCACACAGTAGAGCACACGGATGCAGAAAGTGCCATTTGTATGTTTGGCCATCCTCCAAATTCAAGTCCATGGATCGTAGGATCCTTCCACAAGCACCATCTACTGTGAGCCTATCCTCAATACTCGCACGTAATTTCTTTCTTTGGTGTCCAGAATCTTTTTCACTATCCCCCTTTGTTTTGACGTAGTCGGCAAATGACATATTCACAGGGATATCGATTCTTCGCCCTTTCTTTTGACATGATGAAGAGGATGTCATGTTTGGTGGAGGCGAGCCTTCCAACGCTAAGCAACAACTAAAATGAGCCAAAAGGCATTAGTATACAAAGTTCTGTTTTTTCTACAAAAACTGAATTCACTAAGCCAGGACTTTTCATACATTAATATTAATGATTAATCTGCCCTAAATTTACATCAGTTTACCGTTCATATATTGATTGGGCGATGAAATGCATACATTGAGTTTACAGCGTCATACACTCCGATCTCATATCAAACACCGAAACACCACCATACCCCGCCCACAAGCACACCACCCATTTTGACATCGCAAGTTCTGTATCTATGCGTTCTGCAAGTTCAGTCTATGACGGGCGAGCCTCGTCATTCTTAATTGAACGTTCCGCCTCCAATCGGGCTTGCTCTTCTGGGGGCAGCTGTGTAGGCACCTCGTCCGACGGAGAGTCGTCAATGGTCACACTGCCAGTATCGGTGATGTTGCCATCCTAAGCGGTGAGAACTGGTCACACATGTATTTCAACCATGCATGGCTTTTTGAAAACACATTGTAATGAACTAAGTTTGATGGTTTCAAAGGCACAAACACTGGAAAACGCAAGATGTATATAGATGAGAAACCAACTTGACATAGTTGCAAAACAAAAAACAAGCAAGAAAATGCAAACCAGTAACGTCAGCACGTGATGTTGGGCTGCAAGCCTCCTCATTTGGCTTCACGGGCTGGGCCAACTCACTCTTCTCCTCTGTCTTCTCCTCGGTCTCGCTGGGTGTCTCGGTGGCATCATCGCTCGATGAAGCCGCAGCCTCCTCCTTCTCCATCTTTGGTTTATGGGAAGTGCTTTTCAGTTTCTTTTCTGGTTCATGGCTCCTCTCCCTTTGTTGCGATGGCTTTGTAACATCTCGGCTGGCTCTTGGGGACTTGCTTTTTCGTTTTTTTTTTGATTTGCTCTTTCTCTCGGCAATCTGGCGGGCTTCATTGGCAGCTATCAGACCACCCCTCACTGCAGCAGCCAGTTGGTCCAGCTGCAGCTGCAAATCCTTGAGCTGCTGGACATTGCTCGCACTCAGCTGTTGGAGCCCATGGTGTAACTCACCGATTTGGTTCGAGAACCACTGGTTGCTCCTCTCCGTAGAATGCTGAAGGGCTGCGAGGTTTGTTGCCAATTCATCAGGAGACACGCGACGTCCTCCTTCAGTGCCGTTCGCCGCAATTCTCTCATTTGCCATCCTGCGAGCTTCCGTTAACCACTCAGAGGGGCCTGAGAGACTTAAACATCTCTCTCGCCACTGAGGTCGGAATCTCACACTGCAACTTACTCCTGTCCGGGCATAGATTTCATCTCTATCTTGCGCAGTGAGCGTTCCACCGTCTCCTCCGAGAGGAATCGGCCCCATGTGCGCATTGTTGTCGTTGCGCGCCCGGTCTGTACGGTGATGTGCAGCGCACATGCCGGGCGAGCCTCTTTCAGCGTTTTCTTGGTTTTGCGTGGGCGAGCCGCACGCCATTGAGCCAAAAAACAACCGGAGAAACACACATTGTAATGAACAACTGGGCATGGCCAAGGAAACAAAACGTATTGGAACATGAAAAATAAGAACCCTCAAAAAAAAACATTCCTGCACGGATGTGAGGACATAGTTTTTTTTAAAAAAAATCAACGCTGGGAAGTTAGCTACTTATAAGTAACTTGTAACTTCACTGCTAAGTATCCTCGTGAAACTTATAACTTGACTTCTAAGTGGTGCAAATATTTACTAACAATATATAAGTCAGTGTGAATTTGCAAAAACATAATGTTGGATTAGCTCAATTACATCTCATGATGCAGAAGTTATATCTTTGCTTCACTCAGTTGTAACAAGACTTACATCTAGCCTTTAAGCCAAAACCATTTTAGTATGTTTTGAATTTGCTGCGCCGCGACTTGTTCGAAAATTGCTTGGGCTGGCGGCAAGGTGTTGAATTCCAAGTCGTCGCATTCCAAGCGGTGAACGCTGAACGGCGAAACGATCCACAAAGCATTGGGGTTAGCATGGCATGGAAATGACCACAGCATTGATGCGCAACGCATATTGGATTTAGCAAAAGAAGCGGTGAAATGGCGTTGGTTGCTCATCGACGAAATCAGCACGGTAAGTGCGGAAATGCTCGCGCGCCTTGAAGCGCGCTGCCGCCAACTCATCATGGATCTATCCGCAACGAAATACGCAAAAAAAGGCGACCGCCGTGTAGCACCTTTTGGTGGACTCAATGTTATTTTTTCCGGCGATTTGCGGCAGCTACCTCCGCCGCGTGGGACTTTCCTAGGCCAAATCCCATGGCAACTCGTTACCGGAATTTCGTCCAAAAAATTGCCTCTGAGCCTTCAAGGCCAGCAACTCGTTTGGGCAAGCAGCACCCAAGGCGGAGTGCAAGGTGTCACGGAACTGACGGGTTGCGAACGCACGCAAGATGTTTGGCTACAAGAGCTTCAAGCGGAGTTGCGACATGGACGCCTCTCTGAGGACAATCATGCCTTCTTGCACAGCAAACCAACAAAGGTTTGCGGTAGCTGGTCGACCACCACCGCGCAAGCGTCATGCGGACAGACCACTTGTCAGCGTCTTTCAAAATATGGATCAACGCCAACTACCATCCAAGCACTCGAGTGTGCGACTTGCCGGACTGAGCGCGCTAGCAGGCAGTTGGTTGCGATCGGCCCCAACGACCCTCGCTTCAATGAGTTTGAGCTGGCGCGTGCCCTTTTCCATACGAACGGGGTTAAATGTCACGCTAACAAACAACGCGCCGAACGCTGTGCTCGAACGCGTAAGCAATGTCTATACATTATGCTGTCGCCATGGATCGAATTTCGTCGCAGGCCCTTCACGAGAAGCCCGACATCGCGCAAGACAAGCTGTGACGTGGTTGCAACGCAGCGATGCCGACTGTGGCAATCGGTATGGCGTCCTGCCGCTGTGCCTGGGCATGCCTGTGCAAGCACGGGAGCATCTCCATCGCGGAAACTTCAAGATTTTGCGCGGATGCCGCGGCGTCGTGTGTGGTTGGTCTGCACTCTTCTATGAGTTAAGTCAAATTTCTAACTAATAGTTAATTTCGCTTTTTTAGTTAAAATTTTGACTATTAGTCAATTTTAACATAAATTAAATTAAGTTAATTCACTTAAATAACCTTCAGAAAAGCATCAAAAAACAATAGGAAATCACAAGTTTTTCTTAAAAAAGAAAGGAAATCTAATAAGGTTGTGCCAAAGTGTTGTACATTTATTGTATTGAATTGTGTCTGAGAATGGAGAGGGGCTGAAAACATGTTCATTGTTTCTTCTGGCAAAGCTGGCCAAACACAGTTGCTGTCCTTCCCACCAACCTGGCTAAGTGCCTCATGCCATGGAAACATGTTCTGCAGAAGTTGAATTTCGATTTGGTTGTCTTACTTAGTATCTGGCCTTGCACTGTTCCTTAGAGGACTTGAATGTTACTTAGTGAACTTTGAGACCCTTGGAATGCGACTTAAAAGACTAAAATGTTACTTAGGAAAATGACTGAGGCACTTGAGACCCTACCAGCTTGGCATCAGACTTCAACTGGAATCTAAGGTTTCACCTCCCTTGTTCCTTGAATCTTCCAGTTACCACATCGACTTTTTTCTGCATTTTTCACATATTGCTTAAGTGGATGTGCATTGCCACCCTGGCTTTGGCGACAATTTTTGCTGTCACTTGTGGCCCTCGCAAGCCTTTGCAAGAGGATTTTGCAAGCGTCCTTTGTACTGCCATGTAATCCTCTTATCTGAAGCACCAAGTCAGCTTCGGGTTGCAGAAGTTGCTGCTCAAAACACTGTGCAGCCAGCTATGTAATTTGGGAATGCCGCTGAACAGTTTTGTATCCTCTTCACCATAGTTTTGCCCCAAGGAAGGGTGTACTTGAGCCATTGCAAAGCTCCTCTTCCTCGGAATCGTCCAATTTCAAAGCCAGGGAAGAAAAGGCCCTGGACAAGGTTTTGTACTGATTATCCTTGAGGTCCACCTGTCCACTGCGAAGCTTCAGGTCATTGTTGGTACCGCTTTCCACACCAGTCTTGCTCTTCTGGAAGCTATAAAACTGAACACCATCCTTCTTGTATTCCTGCACGCTGCCATTAGCAATGGCTGCCTCCAAAGCTTCTTTGTTCCCATGGAAGGTCTGCCACAGAAAAACATCTTTGGGAAAGCCTGTGCTTTCGTCTTTCCCATACCTTTTATAGTAAGTAAGCGGCTTTGGCTTGCTCAAAGACGGGAGCAGTGGCCATCATGTCATATCCTCCTTTCGCGTTCTTTGTAAAGAGGCCATTGATCAAGGCAGTCTTCTCCTTCCTGGGGTTGTCTGCCTTCTGGATTGAGTGTCGATCAAGTCCAAGATGTGAGGAGGAATGGCACCAGCGTCTGCCAGCTTTCTGAACTTCTTGGCCTTTTTTAGGGTCCCTGCGCTCTTCTCCTTCACCTGCGCTGTCTTCGTTCTCTTGGTCAGACTGGGCCACTGCCTTGGTCCACGAGGTTGTCTTGTCCTGAAGTGTTGGTGCCCTTCCTCCAGTCTTGTTTCCATTTCCATTGCTTTCCTTGGTGCTTGGTCTCTTGATTACTGTTTTCTTGGGGGGCGCTTTCTTCTTTGGAGCAACTTTCTTTGCAGCCGCCTTTTTCATAGCCTTTTGTTTGGACTAGCTTTGGCCTTTCCTGTCTGTGTCTTGCTTGGGGTTCCTGGGGTAGCTCCTGCCACACCTTCCACTTCTGTACTTCCAGCTTCAGAAAGCTGCTCCTTCTCTTCCTCGGCCTTCTTTGGTGTAACCATTCCTTCTGGTCCAGCAGGCCTCTTCATTGCTCCAGGCGACAAAGACCGGTGGTGTGACCAGGATGTTACTTAGTGAACAGCATGTACTCAAACAATGGGCCACTTCTGTTTCTACCTTATCCTTTACAGGCATGTCTTCCCATGATGTATGTGCTGCATGCTGTTGACCACTTTCCTTGAAACCATAATTATGGAGAAAACATATGGGTATAATTACACATGTGCATGCTGACATGGTTTTGTCTGACTACATATTAATGTGAATTATATTATTTGTTTCTTAGAAATTGCATGTTTTTATGTTTTTGTTTCATGAAAATATTTAATTTGATTTCATGTTTGTTTTGTTTTTAAGGTGCAACTTTGGTGCTAGTTTGGTGCAAGCTTGCACCTCTGCTGTGCTAGTTTCATGCTAGTTTGATGCTAGCTTGGTGCTAGTTTAGCGCCAGTTTGGTACTAGTTTGCTGTATGTGTATCTTTCCAATAACTTTTTATTTTACATTTGCAACGCTACCAAACTAGCATCAAACCAGCACCAAACTAGCATCAAAGTAGCACAGCAGAGGTGCAAGTTTGCACCAAACTAGCACTAAACTTGCACCTGGTCTTGCTAATTTTGAATGAAAAATGATTAAAACAATAGTTTTTCTCATCATTTTTTGTAAAAAAAATCTTGTTCAGTGGTGACCTGGAGGTAAAAGATTCCCTGAACAAGTGCAGATGTTTGTACATTTTCTTTGAAGATTTACTTCAACCATTCACATTATGTGATAATATTGTTACAACTCAGAGTTGCAGGTCTCAAGGGTGGATCTGGAGGATCCAGGAACTTGTTTCCATCTCAAGTTCTCTCCATGTTACTTAGTCAACTTGTATGTCAAATCTCAAATGCAGGAACTGTTACTTAGTCACCTGTGATGTGACCTACTGTTAATTTTAGTGCTCCAAAAAAAGTACCTACATCTATAAAATTATACTGACCAGTTCAAGTTTCTATGTTTGTTGAACCTTCCTGTGAATGACATGTGAGTTAGTTCAACTGGAATGCTACTTAGTCTGCAGTACCCAGTCCCCTCCCCCCCTCTAAAACTCAATGTTTTTTCACTTCATTCATCTCAAAATCCATTCAAAGGTCACTCCACGAAGTCCACCTGACAGGGCAGCAGAGGGCAGGGCAAGAGTCAGTGGGAGGAAACTCAACACAAACCTGCTGTACCATGAGCATTGCGGAGACATGAAAAATGTAAGATCCAATCCAAACATGCATCAGTAGACAAACCTTCATCCTGAGTCCTGATGGCCTCTTCGGGTTGAGGATCTTCTCCCAGGGTTTGGCCTCAACAAAGAGCAATGCTCCATCATACACACTCAGCACAGTGGGAAAGCTAAATTAAGAACTTAGTTCTGGGCCTGTGCCAGTGCCTTTTGACATTTCTTGACATGTCATGACATGCTTAGTCCTGCCACTGCTATACACTGAAAGCCTCTGAACTTCCAGCCTTGGGCTGGTTCTGCTGGACAGGGTAACCTGATCAGAAGGAAAAAACATATGTGAACCAAAAGAGATAAAGATAACCAAGAAGACTTAAAAACAAAAAGTACCAAAAGAATACATCTGACTCAACCTGGCCTTTGCCTTTTCCCTTGGCTTTGTCGCAACTTCCACCAGCACTTGGAATGCT